GGAGGAGGAGAGAGTGTAGGTAGATGCTACGCAAGTCTACTGGCACTATAAACCCCTGCGTAAGTCACCGTCCCTGCTCCGACCGCTGCTGCAGCTGTGGGGCACACGGTGGACATCGTCGAAATCGACGGTCGAACTGTCACACGTAAAATGAAATCTAGGCCGGTTAACTTTCCCGGCTCTAAGACCCTCATTTATAAAATAGCCGTGAGTGGGAAGACTAGCATCTACAACTCTCTATCCCTACTGGGAATATGAATGCCTTGAGCGCCAGGGTTAATAAGACTCGGAGTAGATAATTGGGTTTTAAGTCACGGCAATAATCGGAGGTGAAACAATGGTCATCCAGTTCATCTGCAAAACGGGGAGTTTAGCGCTCGCGTTTATCCTCGAGAAGGCAAAACGAAACCCGACCCCTGTACAGCGGAAAAAAATTAAATTACACTAGCGACCTTGGAATCGAACCAGGAGGATAACTCTGCAAATCTTACATTGAAATCCGGACTGGGACGATGCAAGCGAATTGAGCGTAACTTGGCAAAAAAGGTAAAACATCGAGCGGTGGGTAAAACATTTTATTAGTACAAATGTGTAGCGGGTCCGTAAAACGCAGAACGCAGTGCCACTCAGGATCGCTGCAAAGGAAGGAAAATAACCGTATGAGAGATGGCTGCCAAGCAACAAAAAATGCTAAGGTGATATCATTTGCCTTGTTTGAAAACGCAAATGATTAAACTACAAGTATTTTGCGCGCCACCGATACAACTAAGGCTGCCACTGAAACTGACATAAAATGAGGATCTAGTGAGGAAAAACGTCCAGTACGCGGCGTATTCAGGCACAGTGTGCACAACTGAAAAGCGGAATGTGAGGACCGATATGGCCAAAATGCGATACCTCATAACAGGTCAGGTACTAACAAGAGATCGAAAAGTGATGTAGTACAAAGATCCCAAGGCAGACTATGCCAAGTGTCAAAGCTGTTGAGCTTAGACGGGAGTCGAAATTGTGGCACGTATCAAGTGCAAGTCTCAGGACAGGCCAGTCACTGTGCCCGACCGCAATTTTTGTCTAACTGTGAAAGCAACATCAGTAGACGATGACAAGACAGAAATCGACCTAACATAAATCCAGTAGTTACTATTTTCATTACAAACGTCCAGATGCACGAAGGGTTGGCGCTCGAAAGGCTGCCAACCTATGGAATAACTCAGTGTCACCGAACACTGACTACAATGGCTCCTTCTTACCAAGTCCTATACAGCGACGCCCTTTGAAGAAAAATCTCAGACCTCTAATAGCGTCCGGTTCGTATATGCGCATATTTACTTGGTATGGCTGTGATTATACCCGATCTTGCCGGACCCAAAGATATCGCAGACTACACCTATCGATGTGTGGGGATATAACAACGGGTCTGGAGGTCGGTCTACCCGTTCCCCACCAGAAAATTAGCTTCATACCTAGACGGGCTAAGTTCATTCGAGTCTTCAATTGGATTTTTCTTTGCCTCCAGTCAAGCATCAGCGATGGGACCTGAACAGATACGCAAAATAACGCAGAGAACGACGCAGAACACGCCCAAACCACTTTAATCATTCTTGGCTGGTCCGACATTCTTTTGTAATGTTGCAGCGAATGTGGACTGTTCCATTAAAGACACTGGCGCACATAGCAGAATAACTTTCCGGTGGTTAAACACTTCCAATTACCGCTTGTCTTCTACGCGCACAGCTCAGTATTCACAACCGTATAGCAAAACCGACAAAACGGACACTCGGCACATCTGAATCTTTGAAAATATCGAGGTAGAGCATAGGGTTTAGTGGCACCTTCGAAGGGTTTTCCAAACCCAAGCTACTGCATCGAGTTCGACAACGATACCATCCTTACTTTTTCAACTTGGGAATCCTTTCGACTACTTACTTCTGCAAACTAAAAATAAACGACCTCCAAAAGAACATGCTACGTCAGGACCGATTTCAACGCCGCCTTCCCGTTCACTTTTCGGGATCAGAACGCCAGTGGGGACACACGACTTACTCGCTTCCGTGGGGATGCCGACTTCTCCGGAAGCTTAGCTTAGGTGCAACCCCATGATTGTGGCTGTGATTCTTCCTGGGGTGGTGGGTAAAACGATGCTGCATAGCCCGAAGAATGAAATGGCTTATAGCGGGTCGATCTATTAAGCACGGAGGACGCTTTTTGTGTTCTTAACAGCGCTCGAATTTGGCGAGGTTGTTAGCAATAAAATGTCTATGGACATTGCAGTCACTCGGTGCGGGAGACCTATCAGTCACATGGTGGTCTAGAGCGCCTCGACGCCTGAAGCTTGTCCCAAGGAAATCGTCACTTCAGTCCAATAGTTTTTGCGGTTATCTTTAGCCGACTTTGTCATCATTTTCTGCAGTTGGCGAAAGGAGTCCTAACTTGGAGATCTACAGTGAGCTGTCTGGGTTGACAACTGCAGAGTTCACGAGCTGACCCACTCCCTTCGGCGTTACCGTGCAAATCTGGCAATTATCGCAGCAGCCTGAAAGACTGTGGACCTCGAGGACAATTAGTTCCTGGTGACTGTTACTTCGATTCGGGCGGCAGAGTAAAACCCAAATTTCTGTGTACAGAGCTTCGTTTTACTTCGCCTTTTATAATTTTACAAGACATTCAGTGCGTGGACAAATGGCCAACAGCCGGGCGTGTTAGGGATGACAACAGTCCTAGCCTGTTGCGGCACCACGCATGTAGTTGTTATCGAACACCCAGTTGCGAAACCTTTAGCTAGCCGCATGTATATCGTTGGAATGTCAGGCCAAAAGGTTTCATGTGACGATGCGGGAATAGATCGATTGGTGGCAAACAGCAAATTCTGGTCAGAAAATATTAGTGCTCCATCAGTTTCACGTCCAAAACCAAGACAGAAGAAGTCGGTGATTTCTGGGGGAAGATTTCCCTAAGGAAGTCTGTTAACCATTCTTATATCTGCCAGTAAGATGCATTGTTATCTTGTTAATTTGCAGCTGGGTTCGCGGCGCACACGGAAGTGGTAAAAAGGCTTGGAAAGTGCCTTTTTCGTACGTACACCAACTTGCCGTTTGTTAATTCCACAAACACCGCTGGGTTCGCGCGATCTGAGTAGGCGACAGCCAAACTGCGTTTACTAGTGGGAACTGTGACAGAACGCCCATGTGGGGGAGACACGAGAAAAATTGAAGCTACGGGTGCCTCCTCACAAGTGGGCCGGACGGACAACTAGCACACGTCACACGCGAAGATGCTAGTTTGTCTTCGTCAAGCCTACTCCCGATTGTCGTGGCAGAAAACTATTGTGGATGTGAGAAAGGGGCTACATGCTGCGGAACTAAGTAGCGTTTGAGTTGATGCTGCCTTCGGAGACAACGATGTTCACCGTCAGGAACCTCGCAACGAAATTGTTGATTAAAGTAGCACGAAACCAAGACATAATATTCCAAAATAATATCAGCCTGAGAAAAAAGTGCACCTGTGAATTGTATGCAGCCAGCTCCTCGTCCAATTGTTCCCTGGTTACGGGAGGCCGATTAAATCGGCCCCGGCCACGGCCTCGTCCTCCACGTCCCCCTCGAAGTCTTCCTCGTGGGCTTGCGCCAATGTTCATACGCTTCAAAGCGGTTCCAAGGCGGCCTCGGGCGTTTCCTCCGGTCACTCCTTATTTGTGGGAAAACGCGGTCTTGCTACACAAGATATCTGAGAAAACTTATTTACATCCATTATGTGACTGTTGGACTTAAACTAGGCTGTTGTGAAATACTAAGGGAGTTGTTAGTGTCTGCTCAGTATAAAAGAGGCATCACTAATTTTAAAAACAACAGCTTACACAGCAAAGCCGGAAGCGTGGATGTGCGGAACCCAACAGTTGCAGAGACATGAGACAATGAAGGCTCACCCAAGAATTCGGCATTTAAACACCAATACAACTGAACTAAGGAAATGTGCGGCAAATTGTCCGACTTCTTGGGACTTGAGGGAGAACATTTGCAAGTGAGCCGGGCTGCAATTTCGACTAATCCTGAGCACGCTCCACCAAAAACTCAAGAAGCCAATTTAAGTACTTTCAAATGGAATAGCCGCCGGCTGGCAAGCTGGATGGAAGCTACCAGGGCGGGCCAATAATGGAAGCAAAGAAGACAACGGAACGCCAGCAGCCTCTATGAGCCATTAATGATAATCAGTAGCCGGCAGTGGTGATGTACCCCGGCTGAGGCAGTATTCGGTGCCGTTAGGTGGCAAACTTCCTTTTGTTATTGCCATGTTTCGGTCTGAAGAACGGAACAGCCGACGTAACCGACTTGGTTAGGCCGAGCGCACCTGAAACAATATCGTAAATGACAACTGACAGCGTGGAGAGGGGCTATTAAAATGTGGGCCCGAATAGGGGTGGTCATTGGGAATAACTATCATCCGCCACGTTCCCGGTGCATTCAACTACAGGAATCGGATTTCAGCAGCGCCGCCAACAACATCTAAAGACTAACATTGGAATGACAGATTTGATGTATGCAACACGCGTGACTGCAACTTTGCCGTAGGTACTCTTACAGACTGGAACGTGGTAAAATACGTGTCTGACACGATTTAATATAAGGGCTAAATACTTCGGTGAAAAAAACGCCCCGAATCCTGTGTACAGTCCGACGACTCGTAACTTTTGTGAGGTGAACCACAACCTTAACTGAGAGAAGACGGACCACCGGTCGACAATAATGTCGGCCCAAGCCCATTCAAAATGAAAAACTACATTAGTTAATGCAAAAAAGTTGGACACGTTCAAACCTTCAACCCAGATCTGAACCATGGCCCTCGGAGTAGCTCTCAGATTGAGTCCTTTCGGCTGTCCCGCAGACTGTTGGTTGTCTGGCCTCGACGCTCCAGCGGTCTATTCAGGGGTTCCGGCACCTCCACGCCCGGAAGCAGGCCAGTTTTCAATAGATGTACAAAGACTCCAAGAGCAATTGCAATGGATATAGGGCAGCCCCAGCAAACTTGGAAACCAAGCCTGCGAATTGCGAGGCGACTAACCTGGAGCACCTCCAACGAGCTGAATGTTCATAGGACGGCCATCTAACGGCAAGCCGTTATAATGTTCCATGGCTCTGACAGCGTTTGAACGGACCGTAAACACGACTTCGGCTGTTCCGAGGGAACGGCCACTTCGGTCGTAATGGACTGCAGCTCTGCGCAATACACCGAACTCTTGGAACAATTCCTTAAAAGACTTACAAAGACCGGGCGATAACCAACCTGAATGTCATCATCGTTGACACCGAAGTCCAAATTGGATATGTGAAGTTTCGCTGGGGCGCCAGCTGCCACTCCAACAGAGCCTTCGAAAAGGTCATGTTGCCATTTGTCAGCAAGTTTTCGGGTCTTTATTCGGAAAGTTGAGCAAAAAACCAGCGACATACACTACTAAAGCCAGGGCTGCGTTTTTGGATTCGACCGCCACGTGTTCCGCGCATTCTGATGGAACCCGGACCTCCACGTCCACGGCGAAAAGGCCGATCCCTTACAATTATCTCGTCGAGACTGAGGTCCATCTGGAGAGTGAAAAGACAAAACGCAGACGCGCCAGGCGGAAGCGATTCAGTCAAACAACTCTCACCTGTAGGTTCAAAGTCAAAACTTGAGGTTCTAGTCAAATGTGCACGATTTATTCAGGAATCTTCATGCTTTTTCACAGGAATGGTACATGTAAGAAACAAAACGTGGGCTGTATTCGATCGCTCAAAAACGGTCTCGGTGAGGAAGGCAACAGAACAGTCCATAGTATAGTTGATTACGAAGAAAGCGTACGCAATTGTACACGGGAAGTAGTTAAAAAACAAAGTAGCTGACAACAGAAACACCAAAAGCGGAATGTCTTTACAACTAATTCATGAACGAAAACAACGAAAAGGCAAAAAAACAACAACTCTTGCCTTGAAAGTTATGTAGAGGCTTTGATGTATACAAAGCTGGGAGACATTACGTGCAAACGCTGTGGCATCTACCACGCGTTGGCTGCAATCACGTAGCGGTACAATGACCAAAAGCAAAATGAGTCCATACTTTTGTCCGCATTTAGGGGTACCATGTAGAATCATCGCGTGTCTTAGCTATCCGACATGTGCAGGTTACGACTACCCTGGATCACCAGTGTCAGGGATCCATGGCGCCCTGAAAAGATTAAGTTGTTCGACGTACAATCAGTGACTGATCTCGTGAAATGTAGGCCAAAATTTTGAAACGTAGCTTAGATTAGGAGGAATTTCTTAAGTTCGTTGTAATATTAATACTAATACAATTTTATCCCACGATATTTAAGATATGCCGGAACACTTGCTTTTAGATGCATTTATTAGTGGCCTTTGATGTCCCTATAAGTTCAAATGTTCTTTAAGGAAACCTTGACAAGAATATTCTTTCTTGCGCTCCTTCGGCAGCAAATCACGCCTCCTTCGAATTTTGCGCACACCGGTAAGATATTTTAAGTTTTTAGAAAGTTTTCCAATTCCCAGATCATTTTGGGCTTGATCTCCATTTGCATTTGCGTTTAAGGTTGTTCGTCCTCGGTGTGTATACTTTCTGTTTAAGGAAGACCAGGCATTCCCTTATGCCATTAAGGTGACATCATAAGGGGCTCATGAGTAAGCGGACAGATACCATGTTACTTAAGTGGATGTTCCAAGGCCATAAAACATATCATTATTAGAAACTTCATTAAAGCCGAAGGATTTACTTTCCTCCAGTTTCAACTTCGAAGAAGACGCCATTTTCTATCAAATGAGTACAAAGAGAATGTTTTTCGGTCACTTTTTATACAATATTTTGGAACTTATTTGGACATGAAAAATCGGTATAAAATTCATGCCATTTCAGTGGCCACTCCTACAGATTGCGGGTTTGTAGACGACCAAAAATAAATGTATTCATGCGCTAACGTCCTGTCGTGCCTGAAATATCCTGGGGGTTATGTTGCAACACAATCCATATTACATCAGCGCTTAACCGGTCCTTCTTGATCGAAAACATATTTTATACTTGTTGATGTTTCAAGAAATCGATCACTCACCGTTTGCATTCATTCGAGGCTCGAGTAACCTTTCTGTGAACCCTTGAATGTCGTGGAATAATCTATTTTAGCACACGTCACCTGGAAAATTCATGGTGTGATCAGCACCTCGTCATCTCTGCTGTAACGAACGGAACTCGGGAATTTCCAGTCAAACCTCTGAGCCGAATAAAGCACATCAGTTTATCTTTTTATGGGCACTCTTAGGGCTTCTGTGTTCCAGACAAGGCGTGGGGACTACGGTGGGTTTAGTATGCTTGAGTGGGTGAAGCAATAATTTTTTGAATGCGTTTATCATTGGAAAATTTGAAACATCTACATGTTAGTAATAACTTCCTGTGTCTTGACAGCAGCCCCGACGGATTTTTTTGATAGCACCAGGACAGCAGAGCTTAAAATTCCCCAGCGAGCAGAAAACTACGCTTAGAATATGTAGACGTCCCCTGATGATCATGGCAAATATATTTTCCGAGGTTGAGAATTATGCGAAATCAGACACCGAAATTCAATCTATACAGATGCTAAGACATGGCCTTCTCGGGCAGAACTGCGGTCTAAATCAGAGTAGATGTCTCCACTCTAGTTAAAAAAAACAGACTGTTGTAAGATACCACCTTAGACGGACCAAACAAGCCGTCGCCTAGAATTGGTCAAGCAGTTATTTGTCCTTCTCGAACCACGGCCAAAAGGTATGTATATCGTGTTTCGAATGGACCGAACGAGTCTTTTTTATGTCTTCACGACCAGTTCTAAATGTATCTGTTAAAGCACTGTCTGTGGTGCGAAGACTACCTGCGGAGTTCTGCAGACTGCTTTTGCTCAACTAGACGACAGATAAGGAGAGGAGGTCAGTAGACCACCGAGATCCTTTTGCTCGTCAGCATTAAAGAGTGGTCCTCAATCGAGGGCATCTTGAAGTGAGTCATCTTATCTGGCCATAAAGGGCCGAGTTTTGGGACATCGCACACCCTAATGTAAAAATTTGGGAGCTGACGAGTAGAGGAGCTGTTACCTCGGTAGACACCACATTGAAGTACCGGCTTCCCCGCGTTAAAAGCGAAGAATGTCCAGAGTGTCAGATAATGGTATAACAGGTCCACCTTATGTTCCACAGCTGCGTGAAGTAGGCACGGTGACCTTCACGTGAATTACTCTTTTCTGAGGGTGGACACGCGAAGCGTCTACCACACATACTCCTCCCCACAGGGGCCCGGTGTCAAGACCTAGTCAAGAAGGCTGAAGGTGGGATAGGGCGCAGGCGGCTGGCACGTCCGGACCCGCACCTTGCCGTGCCACCACATCTCCTGGCCCACAACAAACACTTGACTAGGTTTTTAACCAACAGCAGCACAACAGTCGAGAACGGCAAGGATGACTGGGTAGCCATGCTTACGATCTGTGTACCCAGTGAGAGCGAAAGCGCATCTGCCGGCAGGGAACCAGGTGCCAAAGTATTTTCAGCGCACTCCAAGCTGCGAGAGAGACTGTTTGCTAAATAACGGCATAGCATACGCTTACAGACTTATAGCTAGAATTTAAGGAAACCGACAAACTTAACAGAATTGAAACCTAGGTGAGTAGAACAATAACCGGATTTTATGGTATCGACCGGTGAAGCTGGCGGCAAATGATCCGCTGTTCAGTTCTTTTAAACATTTATTGATTCCAAATCGGACAATGGACTGTATAGGTCACACGAACTATAAAGGAAGGTGTAAGAAATTGTTTTAAGTTGTCAGGGACCGACACTACAAATAATGTAATAAAAATGCTTAGAAATGTGTAAGGTCTGTTCAGCAGGTAAGACGAAATAAAACCGACCGTGACGAATTTTTTAATCCGACTTGATACCTTCAACTGTAACATGGTTGACTGGGCGGATAGAAGACGCAGTAGTCATACTGTATGGCTTTTAACTTATCTGCGTGGGTCGAAATGAATAGATAAATCGCAATATTTTTCCGATATGACATCTATTACGTCATGAATGAATTTCGCTGTAAAAGGAATATTAGTTGTTAGATATGTAGTTGTTATATGAGACAAGAAAATCAACCAGACTTTAATTTTTTCGTGGTCCACTGACCACCGGGACAGCGTAATGATGCGTACGATGCACTCATTAACGAGTTAAAAGAAATTTGTCATAGCAAACACGTAATGCTACTCGGAGGTTCCAGTTCACCAGACATCTAGCGAGAACTGATGAAGTGCACGCAATCAGAAAACACCCTCGAACATAAATTTATTGAGTTGATAACTGATGAATTCCTTACTCAACAAATCAATATGCACACGCGATTCTGCGATGGCCAGTAGTCACACTGTTTGGATCTCAGCACTACTAGGGGCGGTATTTGCCATCCTGGGACAGAATACTCACGCGCCCCCTGGCCAAAGTAACCACTGCGTTTTTGTTTGGAGTATAGTATTATTTCTGTACCTAAAGTCTGAGCAATCGAGGTAAGATATGGTCCGAAAAGGAATCATCCCCAAACGAACAATCAGCTGCATGATTCGAATTGGAACGCTGCAAAAGCGCCTGCCCCAGAAGCCGACTGGCTCTTCTCCAACACCGTAATTTGGTACTCGGTAAGGAGCTGTTATCCACTCAGGAGACGATCGAGAGCTTTCTACCGCGAGTGGGCAACGTTAGAAATAAAGAAGAACCTAATGGTGGAAAAGAGATGTGGGAAGAAGTACGTCAGATATCACAACCTAAAGCGCTATACCGATTTTAACAAATAACGAAGTATATGTCACAATCTGCCTAGGAGTTTAGAATAGCATTTGCGTCATACGTAGTCAAAGGAATGCCGGGAAGCCCCTAGATGTCCATTGGTTATCTAAATAGGACAAGACACGGCCGGACTGCATGCGTTGTCTAGAGGATCACTATGGAAACGTGCTGTCTGATAACTAAGACAATGCGAGCCCCTTATCCGATTTCCTTTTGTCCGTGTATACTAAAAGGCCGAATTCGGCAAAAAGATTACAGTTAACCTCAAATAAACGCATCTAGTCGTACAACTATCGCAGTGGACTTCATAAGAGGAACTGTAAGGAAAACATTGAGACAAATACACCCCATTAAATAGCATGGTCAGGACGTCATACTTGGAAATTCCTGAATGAATTCACAAACCGACTGACGTCTCCGGTCTCCAAGACCTTCGAAACTTTGATGGGGACTGCGGCTCTACGCACTGACTGGAAGCAAATCAGCACAAGTCTCATATATAAGGAGGGTCAAACTGCAACCCCAAGCAGCTTCAGACCGGTGTGTCCTACGAGCAGCTGTTGCAAACTGGTGAAGCAGATAATAAAAATAGAGCCAGTGAGTCATCTTGGATGAAACACCTTGCCTTATGCGCATTAGTATAGATTCAAAAGCGGCCCATCTCGTACACTGATCTGCCCAAATCCATGGAGATCTGGACGAAATAAATTCCTGGCTTTTGGCGGTTGATAGGAGACGGGTTCTTG